GGCCCGATAAGTGAATTTTGGATGTTTCTCTCCAAAACTTTGCCCACTGAGCAAATATACACACAAATACACACACACACGTAGGCCTAACACACACATAAGAGAGATAATCAGGAAATTTTGCAAGAGATCCTCTGTTTATGCTTTATATGTGAATATAAAGACAACACCTCAGTCCAAGGTATCATTATATCACAAGGTTCATTGAACTTCATGACTATATCATGGTAAAGACGTGAGTTCGACATTTGCTTCCCCAAGCCTTCTACCATGACGCCTCTTCAAGCTCAGCTTTACTCTGGTTTCTGTCTTTCCTCACTTCCAACACCCGCTATCAAATCTCAGGTACTACGTGGAAAGGTCTCAGCATCTTTCTCACCACAGTGTGGGAAGGTTGATAGAAGGGTTTTTCTTATCTACCAACACTCAACTTAGAATTACCTAAAGAGGAAAGGAGAAAGAAATAAATGTCAATTTTCAAGTCATTATCTAATAAGGAAGATGCTCTGCCACCTCCAAGCTCCACTAAGTCCATCTGGGGCAGGACTGAGATCCAGGAACTCATCACCCTCCAAATACTTGGGGAGTGTAATTTACAATGTGCTCCCAGGAGTATGTTTGTCCTTATTACTGCATGAGTTTCATGTGTATGGATCCAGCAGGGTATTAAGTCATCATCTGCTAGCTCCTTTTCTTCTGAACATCCATCCCCAGGGCCCAGAGAAATGGAGACAGAAAGACAAACGACTTCTGGTTCTCTTGGTAGAGATGGTGTCTGTGTCTTGTGGGTGCTCGTCTCCTCTCCCTCAGGGATACTTAGGGACAACCTGGGAGGGCTTGGGTGGAGATGAGCTCACCATAAAATCCTTACTGCTGGTGCTCACAGTGAGCAGGCTCCAGTCCCTGCATCAGCCTGTGTCAAGAGAACAGGGACAACTCCGGGACCTGCAAAGTCCCTCTTTTAGAGACTGGAGGGAGCAAGATCCTCAGCTCTGACCTTCAAAATCTCTCCTGACTTCTGTGCAATTTCCTCTAAATCTAATCCTATCTCTGATATAAGACCAGGGCTGGTGCCACAGTGAGTAAAGGTCTTTTGCAAAGTGTGGTACTTTAGAGAAGCTGGGGTCTGGAGGAAGGAAGGGCTTCGGAACAGCAGACTGAATGGGAGGTACAAGGTCAACTTTTGGGCAGGCAGCTTTCTGGGCTTAAAACGGGTTGGAATTTGCAGAGCTAGGGTCATAATCTGCTCACTGAGGAAGATCATGTATATCATGAATTGTCATGTAATAGGTGCATACTTCTATGGAACATTTTAGTTTTTCCCTTTCCATCACCCCTGTGGTCATGTGGTTGGTGGAATGACAGCCACAGAAAATGAAAGAAGAGCCCAAAGACTTGATTAAATTCCAGATATGCACTTTGGATGTATTGCTAATGTAATGCCTTTCATTCACCCATCCATCTATCCATACATCCATCCATCCAACAAATGTATTGGGCACTGTCCAAATGCAGTGGGGCCTAGAAACAGCATCTACTCAGAACCAAGGAAGCAGCCCTGCAAGAGGGTAGGGTGGGGCAGAAGTAGGAATATTATACACTTAACTCTTTATATCGATAATCTCTTGCTCTGACTCTATACCATAAATTACTTCTGTGAATGCTGACCATATTAGTGATGTCGCTATGCTCATGCACAGAAGGGAAACAGCCAGATTTTCCTTGCAGCATCAGGAAGTAAAAAATTTAGCGCCAACTTCATTTGCTAAAGTCCTAAAATTAGTGAACACAGAGGGAAACAGACCTCCTTGAAGTTACATTTGTAAATCTCACTCCCTAATTCATTCGTTAGTATATTTAGCCCACAATCATTTATTGAGCACCTGCTATGTGCGATTTACTCTGCAGAAGTTATAAAATAAGAGCAAATCAAATGATAAAGAGAAAGTGAAAACAAAATTTGAAAACTAAGTAAATTAGAAATAAAACTACATGACAATATGGCTATGGGCGTTTCTTAAAAATAAAATGATTAGTGATTCTGGAAAACAATTTATTCTGTGGTTACCACCATGATAGTAAAAATATGGATCTTGCCATCAAAGTTAAATAAAATTCTGTAGAAATGAATATAGTACGAGACACCCTGTGTTCACTCGTATTAGTTACCTGAACAGATTTTCTTTCTGCTTTACTATGGATTAAAGGATTTGACATAATGACCCTGAAAAGAATGGTTAGCTGAGTCAACACACGATATATACCTTAAACCTCCTCTTTCTGTTTAATAACTAATCCAGATCCGCATTTGCTCCTCAGCGCACAGTGCACTGCAGCAGCAGTGACCAATACAGGCCCTATAGCCAGCGCATGTCAGAAAATCAGACATGGGTCATGGAATTCATTCTTCTGGGATTCTCACTCAGCCCAAAGATGCAGATGCTCCTCTTTGGGCTCTTCTCTCTGTTCTACACCTTCACCCTTCTGGGGAACGGGGTCATCCTGGGGCTCATCTGGCTGGACTCCCGACTGTACACCCCCATGTACTTCTTCCTCTCACATCTGGCCATTGTTGATATTTCATATGCTTCAAACAATGTCCCGAAGATGTTGGCAAACCTTCTGAACAAGAAAAAAACTATCTCCTTCATCCCGTGCATAATGCAGACCTTTTTATACATGGCTTTTGCTCACACCGAATGTCTCATCTTAGTGATGATGTCCTATGATCGGTATGTGGCAATCTGCCACCCACTGCGTTATTCTGTCATCATGAGCTGGAGAGTGTGCATTGTTCAGGCCGTCAACTCCTAGGCATGTGGCTCCATCCTGGCCCTGGTCCATGTGGTTCTCCTTCTGAGGCTGCCCTTCTGTGGGCCTCATGAAATCAACCACTTCTTCTGTGAAATCCTGTCTGTGCTCAGGCTGGCCTGTGCTGACACTAGGCTCAACCAACTTGTCATCTTTGCTGCTTCTGTGTTTATTTTAGTTGGGCCCCTCTGCTTGGTGCTGGTGTCCTACACGTGCATCCTGTTTGCCATCCTCAGGATCCAGTCTGGGGAAGGCCGCAGAAAGGCCTTCTCCACCTGCTCCTCCCACCTCTGCGTGGTCGGGCTCTTCTTTGGCAGCGCCATCGTCATGTACATGGCCCCCAGATCCCACCACCCTGAGGAGCAGCAGAAGATCCTTTCCCTGTTTTATAGTCTTTTCAACCCTATGCTGAACCCACTGATCTACAGCCTGAGGAACGCAGAGGTCAAGGGTGCCCTGAGGAGAGTTCTGTGGGAGGAAAGATCAATGTGAGGGACGCCAGAGAGAGCCTTGAAGGTGGAAGATTTGTTCTCTATGAGATTTGAGGGAATGGTAATGTAAATGCCTTAAAATTTCATGTCCAAGATTTCTGTTCTTAAGAATATACATCGATCAGATTCTGTCCCTAAACAGAGGGTACTGGCCAGACCACAAAGCATAACACAGGCCACAGAGAAGAGTTACGCAGTGGTGTAGGAGCATAGAGCCGTGAACCCCAACGGCTCGTTCCCAGCACTACCTAAGATCCAGTTTCTTTCCTTTTGAGGCTTCATTCTTTCAAATCTTTTCTTAAATTCCTCTATGATTTCCATCTCCCTCCTTGCTGTAAGTATATGCTAATTATCCCATAATATATGCTACTACAAGAGTGCACCTCTAACAAGACAGAATAAATACTGACCTTGGTTAAGCAGTCCCCTACTGGGAAATGCAGTAAGGACTCAGGTAGAGCCAACACCCTGGTCTGGAACATCTGAGGATGACATTAGTGCTGAAAAATCAATCATCTGAATCCAAGCCTAATGAATCTATTTCTATAAAAAGCAAAGTTTAATTTTATTGATTTTTTTATATGACAGACAGAGAAATATTAGGATCTAGGTTTCATTTCATTTAATTCTGCACCATTTAATTAGAAAGAGTTTGTATTTAGAATAAATATGAGAGTCAGTTATAGGGAGAGTTATGTTTTCCAGAGTTCAGGTTACAAAGCTTGGTGTAGGTGACAATTGACCATTATGATGATTGCATAAAATATTCTAGGAGTAAGAAAATATTGTAAAAGGAAGAAAGCATCAAGGGAAGCTAATAGCTTGCCCTAACATTGTAGACGAACACTTAGAACCAATAACAAGACAAAATCTGATAAGGGCTTGTAGGAACCTCAACAAAAAATCCAAAGAGCACATGCTCCAGTGATATAAATCACTTATTTTGGATCCAAGTGGTCAGAATGATAGGGAAGAGTAATTTGTTTTCTTTCAACACAAGTTCAGGACCTAAGTGGCCAGCAGAGTATGATAATGGTGATTTCTTTAACATAGAAAGTATGGTGTCTTTTGAATTCTCTTCTCTTCCTCTCTACTCTTGTACTATCATATGACTTTCAAGTGCATATGATAATAGTATATTATATGCTTTCTATAGATTTTTCTATTTTTTTCACCCTAATTCTCTCATGTATCATTATCACTCCATATCTTTCTTCTCCCATGAAATTAAAAAACACAGGGGAAAGTTTTCCCTTCTACTCTCTCTCCTAATGCATTATTTTCCTCTCAGTCTTCAAAAAGCCTATTGCTGACTACTCTATTCATTAGTTCATTTGGGCAAAACATTTTGTCTCTGGCCATTATCTCAGTCTTCTTACTTCCACAGTTTCAGGACATTTTCAGCCGACAGAAATCCACAAACCTTGCTCTGCTCCCCTGTCCCCCCGAAAAAGAACAATTTGAATAAAGAAATGAATATGGGCCTTAAATGTAACTATTAAGCACTGTGGAGTTATCGTGTGCCCTATTTTAGAGGTAGAAAGAAAAGAAACAGAGAATATTTTAATTAAAAAATGACATTTTAACTATATCTAGAAAAATTATTATATTGTCTAAAATATATATACATGTGTTAAGGTTAAAACCCTAAAAGGGAATTGGAAAAGGCAAGTATAGAATAATATCTTTCATACAAAATATAAGCCATAGGTTTGAATTCATAATTTTCCTACAAGGGCCCATTAGAAAAATCAGAGGTTGACATTCAGTCTTACTTCAGTTCAACGATACTTGAGAAAAAACAGACCAAAAAGACCCAGCTGCTGCAGAGATAACTGTAGATGAATTCCAGAGAGATGTCCTCCAGCAGGTCTGAGGAGTGGCTCTGACTGAAAAAAACACCAGAAAACTATATTTTGTTAATAAATTGCAGAAAATGCCTGAGTATATGAGAGATTACTATTAATTTTCAATATTTGAGTTTTAGGATTTTAATAAACAAATTATATCTTGGTGTTATGACTTCTTTTTATATATATTATTTTAGTATTAATCACTATTTTCAAAGGGCTGAGGACAAGAGGAAAAAGATGCATTCACTGTATGCTAAGGATTCTGCCAGGTGCTTCCCAAGGGTTACCCTATTTCTCTGTCACCAATAACACTGGAAAGCAGATATTATTTTCCTCCTTTAATAGCTAGGGAAACAAAGTTTCAGAGTGATTTAGTAACTTTCCCTGCCCCGCACAGCAAGTAATAGAACGGAGTTGGGAGTTTAATGTGATTGTACTGATTCCAAACCCACACTGCTTCTTATTAGCTTTCGTCCCCAAACATCACAGATTTTAGCTCAACATGGGTTAGGCTTGGCATCCACGTGATGGAGCAGAGGGGGGAAGAAAAGTTTATATTACTGTGGCCAAAGCGTTAACCTCAGGAAGAGCATATGCTTTAGCCAGCACATCTTTGGGGCGTTTATTACACTTGATGAGAGTAGAAACCCTCGCCTTAGTGGCCTAATCATTCTCAGCAACAATCCCCTCTCCATCCATTCTGGAAGAATAGCTCTAGAGAGCACTATGCCCAAGGGGGCAATCTTAAGACACCATGCTGTTCTCAGTATCTCATCTTACCTGTAATTCTAGTCTTTTTCCTGTCATCAGATTTACCCATCTGTTTTCTTTTCCTTTGTGATGAATGCTCTCCCAGGCAGCTTCCCTGCCCCTCCTGTACAGAGACACAGCACGGACCTACCTCACCACTGCTCTAGGCTGATAGGACTGAAGAAAAGCGAAAACCCAGCACAGGCTTCCATTGAGGTGCTTGCTATTGCGGATTCAATTTTCGATTTTGTCGTGGCTTACTCAGTAGGTCTGCTTCTAAGCATAATTTACCCTTCCCAACCCTGAGTTTTACCTTAGGTCAGATGTGGATAACAATGCTTTAATTAGGCACCTCACATAACTTTTATCAATGTTAAATGATATAACTTATGTGAATTCTGTTTGAAGAGTGATTATAAATGCGTGTGTATATAGCATATACAGGTATATATATTATATATACAATTTTGATGAAAAGGGTATAATGGGAATGAAAATGATCACTCAGTAAGACTGAGTGCTGGTAAAATTCATGATTAAAAATCTATATTGTTTTGGTTGGTTATTTTGGAGAAAGTCTCAGTCAAAAGTGGTTGAATGACAGTGCATATGAGTCTGGATCTAAAATAGTTTTCACTGTCACTGCTGGGAGAAAAACTCTAGGAAGAATCCTACATAAATTTTTGCATTCTATACATAGCTGTAATTGCAGAAGGATTCTTGAGATAGCATCTGGAATAGGAAATAAATGCAAAAACCATCTCTTTGTAGTCTATAGCTTTGTTACCCTCACTCTTCTACCCACACAGCAAGACTTCTCATCAGCTGTGTATCTAGAATAGCTCCACTAGGAAGTTTTGGGTCTATATGCGGAAATATAAATTCACTGTTGTGGTAACTTGTTAACTGGTTGTGTCAGCACTCATCGTGGCCTACTCCTCATATAGCTCTCCTTGCTTTTAAGATTGCCAGTGATGGTATTGAGATTACAACAGGAAAACACAGATGAGTAAATAAACAAACGGATAGACATAAATAATTTTTGAAATGACTGTCAATGTTAAGCCTGGAAAAAGGAGACAAAAAAGAAATAAGATAGCTGTCTTCAAATGTCCCACAGAATGTCCTTGAAGAAGCAAAAATGTTGTTTATTGCCTTCTACAAAGGGAAAACTAGAATCAACAGGTAGACGCATAAGAAGGTGGAATTAAATCAATATGAGAAAATAATTTCTAACATTAAAGTTATCCAACAATGAGGTCTTATTAACCAATGTGCAACCTTTCTGTAAATATATAAGCAGAGGTTGAGTGAATATGCATGGATTGAACAGGTGTTTGGAATAGATTCTCCTCAATGTTTCTTCAATTTTAAACATTTTATGATTTCATAGTAAGTTTTTTAATTTTATTTTTTACTGTGAGGGAGCTTAAATTAATTTTTTTTTTTTTTTGCTGAGGAAGACTCTCCCTAAGTTAATATCTGTTGCCAATCTTCCTCTTTTTGTATTTTGCTTGAGGAAGATTAGCCTTGAGCTAACATCTGTGCCAATCTTCCTCTGTTCTTTCACTTTAATTCCCACACTGCCATTTCTAGATATACATGGTTTTACATTTTAAAATACTAGCCTGATCTTCAGTCATAGTAACTCAATGACTTTTGCTTCAAACATAGAGCAGTGACAGATAAACTATGAAAAGACGAAATGAAGAAGACAAAATTAGCCTCCAAGGTAAGATAAACATCTGTGTGGACCAGAAACAAAACATAAATGCTGAGCTATGAATGACGCTGAAGCCGTGGGTTTGCTGCCTGAGTCTGGAAGCTGGCATGAGTGGTGACAGCTTTATTCTTGGAACTAAAGACATTAAAGTGCTCCATGTGACAATGGGGAGCCGGGGCAGGTCCTTCCTTGAAAACAGGATCTAGAGAAGGAGAGAAGAGACTCCCTTTGTTTATTAATAGAGGCCAAAAGTCTCCACTGCTATATCCTGCCTCACCATACAGCTTCAGGAGAAAAGCAGGCTACAAGATGTGAGAGCCCCCACACACTGCACTGCAACCAAATGTGGAATCCAGCCAACCACTATCTGTGCTGAGATCTTCAATAGACTCAATTTCAATATAGGGAAATAATCCTAAACCATTAATGTAGGATCCTAAGATCTAGATCTGGATATAAAGCCCAAAGAGCTAGGCTGAGACAGTCCCTAATCCTTTAGATGAGACAGATCAGCAGGGAGAGAGAGAGAGAGAGAGAGAGAGAGAGAGAGAGAGAAACTGGGTCTGTAGAATAGCCTTTGAATCTGTTTTCAGAACCTGAGGGAGGTGCCAAGAAAAACAACAAATGCAATATAAATTCACTTCTGATGGCGTTAATATTGTGCCTTCAGGAATG